GCATACAAATAATATATAAGAAAATACATAAAAATAAATATATTTACTACAATTTAAAAATATAAATAAAAATGTGACAAATATTTTATCAAATATTAAAAAGGATAATATATTTAATAGAAATAAAGCTCTCACAAAATGAATAACAAAAATAGAAAAATAAATAAAGAATATGAAGAATTTATAAGAGAAGAACAAACAGCCAATAAACATCTAAAAGTATATTCAAAGTGCCCAGTCTCATTAAAAAAATAGCAACAAGTACAATACTGGATCACTGCAGATGAGGTCATTTGACCAGGCCATGGGGTGTGCAGATATTTAATCAAACGTTATTCTGGGTGTTTCTGTGAGGCAGTCCTTCCTTCCTTCCTTCCTTCCTTCCTTCCTTCCTTCCTTCCTTCCTTCCTTCCTTCCTTCCTTCCTTCCTTCCTTCCTTCTTTTTCTTTCTTGATGAAATTAACATTTAAGTTGGTAGACTAAGTAAAGCAGACTGTTTTCCTCAATGTGGGTAAGCCTCATCCAATTACTTGAAGGCTTAAATAGAACAAAAAAAGCTGATAACCCCCGCCCCAGCCATACCCCATATAAGGGAATTCTTACTGTTGATGGTCTTGAACTGGCACATTGTTTTTTTCCCTGCCTTCAGATTCAAATAGAAACATTGACTCTTCTTAGGTCTCAAGCCTGCCACCTCTGGACTGGAACTACACAACCATCAGCTCTCTAGGTGTAACACAAAGAAATACTTCTCTCTGGTGGCTTTCATGCTAACATCTCCTGCTATTGATATGCTAACAAACTAGAGGAATTTGTTCAGATAAGAGGTGGGAAAATATGAATGAAGAGATGACTGTTTTTCAAAGATTTACAGGAGTTTCTAGAACTAGACCAGATCAGCAGTGGTTAACAGACTAACAAACTGGGAACAAAGGGATTGAAAAATTTCTCCCTCTTCCTTGGATCCCTTTCTAAACCCACCTGTCTATGGTCTGCACCACCCCTTCCCTTGCCCCTCCTCCCTTCCCTTGACAATAAAAGAAGCCTCAATCACAGACTTTTTAAAGATAGATTTAGTTCTACCATCTTCTCAAGCTGGGCCTTCTTGATCAATAAAATTTTTCCTTGCTCCAAACTCTGATGTATTGAATATTAGCCTTTCCTTTGAAGCACCAGACACGTGAACCTGGTAGCTGTAACACTGGTTGACTCATACCGGAACTATGCAGAGGTACCACTGCTGCTCCTGGGTCTCCAGCTTCCTGACTTTGCCTGAAGATCTTCAGAACTGATGGCTTCCATAATCACATGAGCCAATTTCTTATGATTTCTTTCTCTCTCTTCTATCTATCTATCTATCTATCTATCTATCTATCTATCTATCTATCATCTATCATCTACCAATCAATCATCTCTTTTTGGTTCTATTTCTCTGGAGAACTGTGACTAATATACTACATTTACCTATCAAAATCATAAAACTAATAAAACTCACCTACAATGCTGGGATTGGTGTGGAAGAATGGTACTCTCAAGAAATATCATTAAGACTAAATTTTCAACCTTTCTGGGGGAGTTTGGCAATGTCAGTATTTCTAAAACTGTCAAATCTTTAATCCAGTTATTTCATTTCAAGGAATCTGTGATGTGGAAACATGACATAGCACATTAAATGTACACTTTTTAAATATTAAAAAGGGAGACAGGGAGAACCTAAATGCTTAGTGCTGGGGAATGGTAAACACATATGATAAAGTCAATGATGAGACAGATATTATGACTCCATAAAAAATTACTGAGATATACTTAATGGCTTGGAAATTCTAATGATATAATATTAAATGAAATAGAAGAGATAAAACTGTGTGATCCCAATTCTGTATTATAAAAATAAAAATGTTTGAATCTAGACATAACTGGAAACACATCAACGATTAGAAGTACTGTGCTTTCCACAATTTGTAAAACAAACACTGATTAATTTTATAATATGAAAGAACATTATTTTAAGAAAAATAAATACCACACAGATCCTCAGCTCCCAAGAAGCTACAAAGTAGAAAATAGAACCACAAAATCAACTGTCAGAAAATCCTTTTGAGCCAGGAATGGTTTTAAGTTGTACTAAGTATCCTGTCTGACAAACTGTTTATATTTGTGGGCATTTCCTTTTTCATTAGAGACCTCGTCTTCAACAGAACTTCCTCTATAAATAACTGATTTGTTTCCTGAACTAATACACACTTGACCGTTTGTGGTTGTATGAGCTTTTTCAGTTTTCCAAATGAGAGTTTTTGAGAGATTGCAAAATATCTTGTAAAATAGAGCATCTGAAAAGAAGCTGACCAACTTTTTCATTTTACCCCTAAACTGTGTAAAGGAAATAAGTGAGGAGTGTAATTTCACAAGCATCTCTATCTTTATAACTCAGCAGCCTGCAGTTTTACAATGACCTCCCCTAATGCTCTATTCGGCTTGATATTTCAAATGTCTAAATTCTCAGCGCTTTGCATGAAAAAGTAATCATTTGTCTTCCTGATTCTGCCTCCACTTAATAAATTAGGATGAACACAGACTGAACTTCTGCTGGCAACACTTGTTTTCATCATTTTGACCCTGAGTAAATTATTTCAAAGGCTCTCAACATATGAACTGTACTATTATCATACTTGGTAAATTTAATTAGCATACAAAATACTTAAAATAATTCTCTGAAATAACCTGATATCACACAAAAGCTCATCTCATTCATAAAATGTAAATTTTCCTTAAAAACAAATAGGAGAGAGAGGTGGTAATAGAGAAATAAAAATTCAAGAGAGACAAAAGTTAATAGCCTTAATGCAGTCCATCTTGCCTTAAAAGAAAAGAAAACAAGAAAAAAATAGTATTTAAGTCATTGGAAACATGAAAAAAAAATCAGAAAAGTTAATGCAGAAAAATGAACAAATAATTCACAAAATAAATAAAAATGCTAAATAAGCCTATACAAAGATATTCAAATTTATAGGGTCATATAAGAATAAGTGAGATCACATACCTAGTATAATGTCTGGCACATAAATGAAGCTATTAAGTTATAACTACTAATTAAAGAAACGAAACTTTAAATAATTTCATGTATGTGTCTCTATCTATCTATCTATCTATCTGCCTACCTACCTACCTATTTATCTCATATTTTCAAACACTGAAAACAATCTTTATGATGCCTGGGGTTGTCAAGAAGGTGGGGTAAGAGGCTCTGTCATAATTCGTCATTTGAGTGTAAATAAGTGCGTCCATTTGGGAAAACACTTTGGTAATATCTTTTAAAGTAAAAAATTATATATGTGTCCTTTGAGCCATTCCACAGCTCAAAATTCGTCCTTTGAAAAATATTAACACAAGTATATAGAGATACTGATATAGTTATTTATCATAACAATGTCAAAGAGAAAAACTGAAAATAGTCCAGAAGTCTACCAATAGAGTGTTAAATAAATATAATAAAACATTATAGTACAAAATGTGATTGATATATACTGACATAAAAATTGTCTAATAAATAGAAAGTAAATTGCAAAATAGTGCATATGGCATCCCATTTTTGTTGTATGTGTCTACACGTGTGAGCACGTGTGTACATATGTGTTAGAATATACACAGAAAAAAGATAAGAAAAATATACTTTAAATATCTTTGGGAAAAGGTTATAGGTTAGGTTATATATTATTATAATATTGTTATTATCATAAGTATTAAGACTTGGGAAAACTATTACTGATACTAATGAAGTCATCATATATAAAAATATTTATATGGCACTGCTGTGAGGATAACTTTAGAATAAATTTAGTTGTTACTAGAGGTAGAAGGATATAGTTAATCTTTCAACATAAATGAAACGGAAGTTGTACTATTTTTCAGAACTTGTGGTCTTACCAAAAAACACTCCCTGGAACTAAATGAATACTTAACCTTTCATCGCAGACTGTATTCAAATTTAATTTATTTTAATCTATTAATTTTAAACTTTAAAAATATCTGCTATGGACTATTTATGTCATCAAAAAATTCCTTATGTTGAACCCCTATCCCCCAATGTGATGTATTTGGAGGTGGGGCCTCTGGGAGGTGATTATTGTTATGTTAGGTCATGAGGTCCGAGCCATGTGATGGGATGAATTTCCTCACAGAAATAAGAGGAAACACAGGCTCTCTCTCTCTCTGCATGAAGGCCATGTGAGGACAAAACCAACCAGAGGGCCCTCACCAAGCACCTCACCATGCCGGCTCTCTGATCTGAATTTCCAGCTTCCAGACTTATGAGAAAGACATGTTTATAATTTCAGTCACCCAGGCATTCTGTTACACCAGCCAGAACTAAATACGACTGTGCAGTAGAAAAGCTTGCACATTTCAGAGGTTTTCCCCCACGCACTTATGACAAAAACAAAGCAAACTGTAACTTATGTTGATAAAAGCTTTGGAGCTTCAGAAATATTAAAGAGTGTGTTGTTTGCAATCCTGTCAAAGATGCAAAAGAAAAGGACAGGAATAATTTAAATGATAGTTTCAGAATAAAGGAAATAGTAAAGAGTAAAATGGTAAGCTGCCCTTCAGGTATTTGGAGGGTTAATAATGTCTAGCCAGGCTTGTCTGATAGGTTACATGTAATTACTACTTTAGACGAGACAAACGTTCACAGGTCTGTCCACGAGGTTCTCATGACTGACCCTTCTTCCTGCCAGGCACTGCACATGTATTTCCTCTGCAATCCACATCACAATCCTGTGACACAAGTTTTAGTATGCTTATTCCACATATGGAGAACTGCAGGCTCTCGGAGGGTCACTTACTCTGTGTCCCAGAGCTAGAACAAGGCAGAGCCAGTATTAACTCCTCGTGTTTCTACCTCCAAAGCCCCCACTCTTCCCACTGTACTCTGATCAAGGAAAATTTTACAGTCTCATCTCCAGACATATTTAATACAATGAGTTTGTGAAAGTACACTTTTAAAAAATCATGGAATGCTCATTAGTTTGCATGTCATCCTTGGCAGGGGCCATGTTGATCTTCTCTGTATTGTTGCAATTTTAATACATGTACTGCTGAAATGAGCACTAAAGTACCCTGTTCTGTGGTTCCTTACATTTCAGTTCCGGGACGTTGTGGATAGTAAGCACATTTACTGAAGAGTTGGGAGACTGTATACTAGAAATGAGAGTCAGAGTTGCATCTGACCATGGGTGCTTATTTACAAATGTTAGTTGGGTAGGACAGCTAAATAAATATTCTTTTCATTAAATGATACTACTTGATGATGATGAAGCTATCTCCTTTGCATAGAAGGATGTTTGAGGTAGAATTTGAATGAGTGTTAAATAATGTATAATTTTTATTCAACTACACGACATGGTGGAATTGGTTCATCTAACATCCTATATAAAGTGTTTGATGAATGCTTTATGGAGGTAATATATTTACTCATTTTTCCTGTAATTATAACAGCAAAATAACCCTAGGGCAGCGGTTCTCAACCTGTGGGTCGTGACCCCTTTAGGGGTCGAACAACCCTTTCACAGGGGTCGCCTAAGACATAACAGTAGCAAAATTACAGTTATGAAGTAGCAACAAAAATAATTTTATGATTGGGGGTCATCACAACATGAGGAACTGTATTAAAGGGTCGCAGCAATAGGAAGGTTGAGAACTGCTGCCCTGGGGCTTTTCTTTCTTTTTTTTTTTTTTTTTAATCCTCATCCGAGGACATTTTTTCATTTTTTGTACAGACAGTGTTGGAGGGAGAGAGAGGAAGAGAGAGAGAGGGAAACATTGATGTGAAAGGGACACATCGAGTGGCTGCCACCCACACGACCAACCAGGGCCGGGGACAAACTGCAACCGAGGTACATGCCCTTAGCTGGAACCGAACCCGGGTCTCTCCGGACCGCAGGTGGATGCTCTAACCGCTGAGCCAAACCGGCCAGGGCGCCCCCCTGGGGCTTTTCAACTAAGGAATGTTAAACTGTTCATAGGAAATTCTCATCTTTGTCTTCTCCTTCTCCTACTTAAATGTTTTCCTAGTATGTTTTAAATTTTATACTGCCACGGGGACATAGCTACAGAATACAAAAACCCTTGTAAACTGTTATTGAAATTAAACTGAATACCGACAAGTGTATGCTAGACACATTTTATGCCTTTCCTTCATTGTCCACTGCTATGAGCAGCTCACAAGGAGCTTGGCCATGCGATGTTGACATCAGCTGAACCGGGCAAGTATGGTATGATCACTGCGGAGACCAGAATTTCATGTTTGTGGGTATGTCATAAAGACATGATGTAGATTTGCAGTCCTACATGCAAATAAATTTGAAAATCTACACGAAATGGATAATTCTGACTTAAACACAAACTACCAAAATTGTTCCCATTTAATACTAGTTTCTACAGAAGATTTTAGTGCTCTACAAAAAGGTAGAAAAACTTTTAAAGTCCTTTAAAACCACTAAAACACTGCCACCTAAACCAAACAAAGGCAGTTTAAACAAAGAAAACTATAGACCAACATCATTCACAAACAGTGATACAATAATACTAAATGAAATATAAGTAAAGAGAATCCAATCCCACATTAAGAAAATGATAGAGCCCAGCTGGTGTGGCTCAGTGGTTGAGCATCAACCCATGCACCAAGAGGTTGCCAGTTTGATTCCTGGCCAGGGCACATGCCCAGGTTGTGGGCCCAATCCCTAGTGGGGGGCATGCAGGAGGCGGCCAATCAATGTTCTCTATCATCAATGTTTCTATCTCTCTTTCCTTCCTCTCTCTCTAAAATCAGTAAAGGAAAAAAAGGGGGGGGGGGAGGTGATACAATGACCAAGAGGGATTTCTTTCAGGAATGCTAGGTATATTCTTTCTAATAATATCATACATATTAATGTGTTAAGATATATTAATATAATAATATGATTGCCTCCAAAGATGCTGAAAAGCCTATGACAAAATTCAACATCCATTCACAATAAAAGAGCTTAAGAAAATGAGAATTAAGAAATACTTTTAAAATTTAGTAAAATACATATATCTTATTCCTAATGTCAACATCTTATTTAATGAGGATATATAAATAGGTAAATATTTAATGGGGAAAACACTAGAGGCACATCCACTAAGACCAAGAAAAACTTAAGGATCACCACTATCTATTCAGATAGTATTCAACATTGTACCACAGGTATCAGCTAATGAAACCATGCAAAAGAAATCAATTAATGGCATAATGGGTTAAAACAAAGAAAGAAAAAGTAAAGCTATTTCTGAAGTTGATATAACAGTATCACTGGAAACATCCAGAAAATCAACAATAAAATAATTCATTTAAGTAAAAGGATGAATAATTTGCCTAAAAAGATCAATAGTCTTCATTTTACACACAATAAACAGAGACTACACAGGTGGGCAAAAGTAGTTTTACAATTGTGAGTACATGAAACAGTTTATTTTTGGATTACTATTTATTTACTAATTATTGTGTTATTTAATATTATTATCAATCTACTTTTGTCCATGCCTGTATAATGGACAGAAAAAAAGCCCACTTATAATGACAACAAAGAAGGTCAAATATGTTGAAATATTTTTAACAAGAAATGTTAAAAATCTCTACAAAGACAATTGTTTAAAATCCTCTGAAATACACAAAATTAGATCTGAACAAATGAAAACATAACCTTTTTTCTTGGATAGGATGACTCAACATTATAAAGATGGTAATTTTAAGTTAAATTATTAATTCAATGTAATCCCAATAAAAATACAAATAAACTATTTTATGGAGTTAGACAATTCAGATATAAAGCTTACATTAAAAAGTCAACATTCAGCCCTGGCTGGCTCAGCAGTTAGAGTGTCGAACCTTGGACCAAACAGTCGAGGGTTCGATTCCCGGTCAGGGCAAGTACCTGGATTGCAGGTTTGATCCCTGTATTGGGGTTGTGCGAGAGGCAACCAATTCATGTGTCTCTCTCACACTGATGTCTCTCTCTCTCTCTCCCCCTTCTGAGGATTAAAAAAAAAGTCCACATTCTAAAATAACCAGGAAAACACCGAAAAGGCAAAAAGTACTATGAGGGTAGAGGAGAACTAGCCTTACCAAGACATTAAAACATACCCAAAATCCTCAAAAATTAAAATTGTGAGACCAATACATGAAGAGACAAAAGATGCGTGGAATAAAATAGAGTCAACATATAGACCCAAGTAGGCATGGAATGTAACATTTGATAAAGGTGACATCTCAAAGTACTGGAGTAAATATGGGATTTTAAATAAATAATAATGCCTCAAGTAGGTAGAAATTTAAAAGCATAAAATAGCCACATATCATTCAAAAATAACAGAATCCAAATGTATAGAGATTTCAATATAAAAAAATATATAATCAGCCCTGGCCGGTTTTGCTCAATGGTTAGAACGTCAGCCTGCGGTCCACAGAGACCCGGGTTCAGTTTCCGCTAAGGGAACCTTGGCTGCAGTTTGTCCCTGGCCCTGGTTGGGTCGTGTGGGTGGCGGCCACTCGATGTGTCCCTTTCACATCGAAGTTTCTCTCTTCCTCTCTCTCCTCCCCGCTGTGTCTGAGTAAAAAATGGAAAAATGTCCTCGAGTGAGGATAAAAAAAAAAAAAAAAAAAAAAAATATATATATATATATATATATATATATATAATCACACCATAGAAATTACAGAAGAAAGTACAGCAGAATTATTCTTCAATTTTAGTTCTAGAAAGAATGTTGAACTGTGAGTAAAAATCCAAAAGCAATCAAAAGAAAAATAAATGATAAATTTGACTCATAAAAAGTTCCATGGCAGAAAACAACACAAAAATATGTGATAAAAATATTTTCTGCTTCAAATAACTCTTAAAAACTGAGGGACAGGGGTAACAGATGAAAATGGCAGAATTAGGGCCTCTGAAACGTTTTATGGAGCAGAGGCTTCATAAAAATACTAAGAAAGCTTGCAAAAATTTTCAGAATCAACTTTCTCAGCATATTGTCAATAAACCAAAGGTTTGCAGCTACCCGGGAAGCATGGGAGACAAAATTCCTCAAAAGCTGAAACCTGGTAAGAATAGCAAGCTTTATGCAGTTTAACTTGCTCTAGTTTCAAACCCTGCTCTAATTTTATGCAGCCTTGAAAAATAACAGCCCACCTTCCCAGGCACAGCCTGGCATCCACTAGGGAAGGGGGTTAGGTGGCAAGCAGAATGCAGCTATAGTTCTTCCAAAGCTTCATTTCTAAAGAAAGCCCCAACTTGCAAGGCTCTCTGTATTTGACCTGTCTCAGAACTCAGCCAATGCAATTTGTTCCTTGGGTAAGGGATGAGGTATAGGGGGCACAAAGAGGGTTTTTAAAAATTATAAACTATTTAAAACAAGAGATTTAACTTTATCATGCCTGAGTAATGGATAACAGCTATTGGGCTAAACAGACAGACAAACCAAAAACCTACAGGAAAAGCTATATATTCCTGAGACTTTAGAAATCCACATGCATGCCTAGGGCTGTGCTCATGCTCACCAAAGACCTGAGAAGGCTCTCGGATCTCTTACCACTGGTTGGCCTTGAAGGTCTATGTAAGCAGAAAGTGAAGTGGCATCTCTAAGGCTGGGCTGTAAACTGTCTCGTGGGGTGTTGAAGTCATGTTCCAAAATGCATGCAAAGAGAGATTTCTTGGTTCCAGGCATTTAATGAAATATCTATCAATCATTAGCTGACCACTGAGCTAACAAAACAAAGACATTGGTAGCCACATAAGACAAAGAATACAGATTTACAGAGTTAATTCATAAAACTTAATAAATCACCAAGCAACTGCTACTACAATAAGCAAAACAACAACAAATGCTGAGGAGAAGGGAGAATCTGATTTTCAGATTTTCATGTTATATTATTTAGAATGTCCAATTTTCAAAAAAATAATAAGACATGAAAAGAAACAAGAAAATTTGGCCCACATACAGAAAACAAGCAAACAAACAAACAAAACAAAAAAGAAATCAATAGAAACTATGCTTGAAGAAAACCAGATATTAAACTTATTGACAAAGAGTTT